GTGTCTGCCATATTATTTAGCTCCACCCCAGGCTAGATTGTATGCTGCTTGAGGTCTGGGACCCTGCCTGATTTCTCTTTGGATCAAATCCTGACCCACACTGCACCTTGCATATAACCAGCATAATACAGTGTTTATGAACTGAAATGTATTAGATTGAATTTGCCTTGAAACCCATTGCAAGTGATCTATCACAATATTATATGCTTAATGTGGGCATGTACTCAGTAAATATTTGATGCTGAATGAACAAAGCATCAAAATGATTGTCTTACAGAGCTAATTATTACCTGTGTGACCTTGGGCAAGTCTCTTTATTTCAATTTTCTCTTCCATAAAAAGAGTGGACTGAATTAGGAAAAACCTTTAAGGTTTTTCTAGTTCTATGATCCTATGAAGTCACTGACCCCAGCAGTTCTCCTGCTCCCTATAGTTGCCTTTCACCAGAAGGCATCCTGTGGTAAAGGGTAAGAATAATGGATTTGGAATCAAAAGACCTAGGTTCGAATTCCAGCCCCAACATCTATAAACTAAGAGTGGGCAACCAAAAAGCCCTTTAGTGAGCTCCTCATACCAACACTGTGAAGCAAGTAGGGTAAGTATCCCCATTTCACAGATGAGGAAATGGAGATTCAGAAAGTTTAAATAATATGCTCAGAGTCATACAGCTAGTAAATGGCAGAGCTGGGACTCCAACCCAGCTTGTTGGACTCTAAGACCAATCCTCATTTCAGGACATTGAAGCTGTAAATCATTAGACATCAAGCTATTTGTGAGGTGAGGTCAAACTGATACTTAGCTCTATCTGATAAGCATTTTATCCTTGTTTCAACCAACTATGACACAGTAAATACAGAGCTGACTTCAGAGCTCAGAAAATTTGGGTTCTAGTCTCATCTCTGACACTTAATGACTCTGTGACTCTGGGAAAGTCACTTGAACTTCAGAGTACCCCAGAGCGTTCTCTATGACTGTAAGTTGCAGGGAGGATGCCAATATACACGCATAGAAGAAGTCTCCTCACTCAAGAGTTCCTTATATCAAAGCAATCGCTTATCTAGTCCCTATTCCTCAGCCCAGAAGCTAATTTCACTCATCTTACATAGTTCAATTACAAGAAACTGAGTTATTTGTTCCAGAGAAATATTTAGGCAAAGCTTATTTTATAATTTTATTCTCTATAATATTCTTCCCAGTGTATTATACAATAAGTACACACCTTAACCATTAGAACTTACATTTCAGGCCCCAGGAGTGAGGCCCAATACTTCACCCAGTATAATGATACAGAAGAAGACACAGAAGATAAGGTAGTGAATAGGCTATCAGATTTTCATCAAGAGAGTTGAAGTGGCTTACGATACCATATCAGGAGTCTGAGATGCCCTAGCCTCTCTGATAAAAAGCTGGTGGTTTTCAGCACTGGGTTTGTAAAATGGACACTATCAAATCTCCACAGCAGAAGATGATGAAAATCAATTAATATGTCCATAAACATTTATTAAGCACCTACTATATTCCAGCAATTATGTTAGGCACTGGAGATACAAGGCCAAAAATTAAATAGTTTCTGCCCCTAAGGAACTTAAATTCCATTTGGAGAAACAGCACATACACATGTAAATAAACAAACAGTATGTATAAAATAATTTTGAGGGGAGATGCCCTAGCATCTGGGCAGATCAAGAATGGTGTCACATAGAAGATGGGGATGGAGCTGATTTTTGAAGTGAGAGAAGGATTCTAAGAGACAAAAGTGAGGAGGAAGCACTTTGCAGGCATTGCTGGTGGGAGAGCCTGTACAAAGGCTTGGAGATGAAAGATGGAATGTTGGGCATGTGCAACAGTAAGTAAGTAAGACAGTTTGGGAGAAATATATATCATGTAAAACGGTAATGTGTAATGAGCCTAGTCTAGAGCCAAATAGTGAAGAATGTTGAATACCAAAAGAGTTTCTATTTTATCTAGGAAGCTGCTGATCTAAAGATTGCAGTTGACAAGTATTAGTTCCACAGAGTCTCTGTCAAGCATGTAACTCATGTACCATTTCATCAAGGAAGGAATATTGAGCTTGAGAAGACAGAAATACTTATTGCCTTGGCCATATCCAAAGAATTTCGGGAAGCTGAAGACTTTTGCAGGTAGTTTACAAAAAAACTATGCCTACATCTCCAAATGTTGCAGTCTTATCACCCATGAATAAATGGTTTGGAAGAACTAAAAATAGAAAGGGAAAAAGAGGCAATCTGGCTTGAACCCTCTGCCCATATTTGGCAATTTTTAAAGGCAAGCAATGAAATCAGGTCTTTAATCTCATAATTAAAAGCCTCACATATTTGCCAGTCTTGATTTTTATAATTGTTCTTATAATTTCTTTATTCTGAATTTAAACACCAATGAAAGGCATCTCCGTACACAGCAAACTACCACAAAAAAAAAGAATTTTATATGAAACCATGAAATCTCCATTGCACACTGCTCGCTTAAGATGTCACTTTCAAAGCTATCCTACTTCTCTGTGTTTCCTTCTGTTCTCTTCTGTGTATTTTTTTTAAAAAGTAAAATTATTCTATATTTTACACCATTATTGCTAAGTTGAAGTTAGGCATGTGGCCTTTTGGGTACATACATATAATGTCACCAAGAATGACACCACAAACTTCATTCTCTACCTGATGACATTTGGGCCTATTGATCTGTGCTTTGGAATTTTGGAAGATGGCGAAGTTATGAAGACTCACTACCAGCATATATCACTTGGTTGAGATACTGGATTAGATTAAAAAGGAGATATCAATTAAGCATACATCAGAAAGAAAGAAATTAAATGTGATGTTAGAATTTACTGTCAGGAATGCTAGCTAGAGGATAGAATCCTACTGAGAAAATTAGTGTCAGGGGAAAACACAAGAAAATGGATTGATGGAGAATGGCTGCCAGTAGTTGAAGGACTGTCTTATCTGCTTGCCTATAGAATAGTCCTTGAGAGTTGCTGGGTCCCTAAAAAATAAGACCATCTACCTCAATTGCTTGTTGTACACAGGGAAGACAAATTCACTGATAACCAGGAATACAGGACTAAAGGAGAACCAAAGAAGCAAGGTCCATAAAGGGACCATCCACTAGATACAGATGAATAGCCAATGCTTAATGATGGCCCATAGGAAAAGCCTTTTCTGGGCTTGACTGGGCCTGAGAATATGATTTTTAAAAAAAAACCTTCTCTAGAGGTAGAAGTGACTTCAGAAGTCACTTAGTCCAATCCTCTCATTTTACAGATGAGGAAAATGAGACTAGGGAAGTTAAATGATTATCTGCAGTGGGTTTGGAGACCATAAATGCAGAAGGTCACCACAGAAATGTCGGGTTTATAATGATACCCAGTGGTGAGTGTAACCATTCTGATGGCAGGTGCTATGTATTTGCATGTCACCTATATGTTTTAACTACTGTGTGCAACTTTACTATGAGACATTATGTGTTTTCTATTTTGATATGACCACCATGTTGGTATTCAGTTTGCCCTGTACTTGCACATCTGGTATAATTTGAAGGAATGGCTTGTTTTTTTTCTACTTGGAAGCAGTCACAATGTCATAGGGGTAAAATAAAGGAAAGCCTTTACTTTCCAATGTCCTGTGCAATATGCACACACCTGTCCAATTATTTCATATGAAGCCCCAAACTCAAGAGTTCAGCTTTATGGCACAGAATCAAGATTGTGAGTGATTCTAGGACACTGTGGCAATTGCAAGGGGATGTCACAGGGAGGAGATAGAGCAAGAAAGAAGGAAAGTGGAATCATAACAGAGGAAAGCAAGGGGTCTAGTCATAGGACTGACTGTGGGTAGGTTGGTAACTAAATTATGAGGGGGGAAGCCAGCAGAGCTGTCAAGATATTGCAGTTTTGCCCAGATGTATGTGAGGGCCTGGATAGAAGATATTATACTAGAGAAGCAGAGAATGAGAATGCCATCATTCAGGGGAATAGTTACTGAGAATCTTTCTAATGTTTGTTTCATTTCCTTTCCTGTTCCAATTAAATGCTTTTACTGATTCTATGATGTGATCTATCCAGGTTTCTGTTATCACAATAATCACTGAATATTTAGAGCTGAATTAATTAGAAGTCCCTAGTTTCTCACTGTTGTGGAGCTTACACGTTACCAAAAAAATATACCCCATAAACCTGACCTCAAGTCCATGAAAATGCAATATCATACATTCATTATATATTCAAAAACAATTATTTCCACTACCAGAAAAGGAAGGGTCATTTTAATCAGGCTCTCCCATCCCACAAAGAGCTAATTGACTTCAAGATGTTTTAAAGAGTAGAAATTACAATGATCACTGTTTTAAGCATTTTGCAACATCCCAGCTTGATATCATTGGAATATTATAAACAAAAGCAAGAAATTACTGGTCCAGAGATCCATTGTTAGTGACTATGAGAGCATTTAGGGCCTTCTATCTCCAAGGATTTTTCTGCTGTCTGCTACCAAGTCTGAAGCCCTCATCTGCTCCAATTCATTTTTCATCACATTTGTATTGATTCATTTGTTTATTTGTTCACAGTTATTCATTCATTCGCTCACTCACTCACCCTTTTATTTGTTCATTCATTCATTCAAGGTTCACTTATTTAGATTCAGACAATATATGAGTAATGTCCTTTAAGAACTCTTCAATGGCTGCTCATCCATAGTGTTGGGGACTGCAGTTTAAAGAGCCGGAGCCAGAAAGTGTTAAAGATAAGTCTCTACTCTATTTCAAATCCGCAGCTAAATCCTGACTAGAAACCAAAGAACAGACACATTAACCCCTGAGCCTGCTAAAATACTTATTGTATTAGCAACTCCCAACATCAATTAATCCATTCAATCCCGGGGAATGGGCAAGGCCAGTTTCATAGTACAAGAGGCTCTGGCCTGGCCCATCAAAGAAACTCAGTAAGTAGACAACAAAAACCCAATACTGGACTGAAAAGGTTTACTTACAGTGAATTTTGAAGTCCTTGTACTGTCTATCTTCAATTGCTACCATGTACAAAGCTGCCCGGTCTGGAAACATAAGCCCTCCAGGTTTCTGTTGATGAATTGTGGGGAAATGGATCTCGTAATCTATTCACCTGACAAAGACATCACATTTTGAACTGCACATAGGAGAACTAGACAAAGTACCCCCACTGCCAATGCTTCAAGTTTTCATGGCTTGTGGTGAGGACAGTGATGGCCTCCAGTGGAGCTTTGGGGCAAAGCATGTACCCAGGTGACTATCACAGGCTGGACAGGCTCTTCTTCCAAACCCAAGCACAAAGTTTATCATTTAACTCTTCCTGGAGAACTTTTGGAAGAGGAAACTTTAGAACAAGTCAGGAGGAGAGCAATGGAAAGATGAAGGGGGTGGGGTTGCAAAAATAAGGCCAAGGGGGAAAAATTGGCCTTTTTCACTAGGAGGAAGCAGAGGTCAAAAGTACTTATTAATGTCCTTCTGGTCCTCGGATGCTTAATACTCAATTAAGCTAATGCCCAATTAAGTTAATTAAACTTAATGCTTGCTGCCCTGACTTTTATCTGGACCAAGTGAAACATCTTAATTTCAACGAAAGTAGTCAGAGTTAACCATACAGATGAAGTTTCCAGCTATCGAAATAGTTACATATTGCACTCGACTTCATAGGCAAAAGAGGTGGTATTATGTCCACCTTCTCTGAAGGAGACCTGCTTCAGGGCTAGGGGGCCAAATAAGGTAACCTGAAAAGCATTTCTGGCTTGAGGCATCTAGGAAGTCCCAGTGAGCAGAGGCACAAGAGGTTCTAGCCTCAGTCTAGTCAAAGGACTGAGGCTCAGCTGTGGGTCAACCAGCAATCCAACAAGGAGGGTGACATTCAGGACACCTACCAGCCACTTGTCCCTGGCGAAGATCACTGTGTTAAGCATTGACTCATAGAAAAGACAATAACCCATCCACTCACTGATGATGATGTCTACCTTTTCCACCGGTAACTCCACCTCCTCCACTTTACCCTTAAATATGGTGATAACTGTTAGGAGAAAAAAAAAAAAGATCAAAAAGTATTTTTAAATCCCAGGAAGCTAATTGCAGAAGACCCAACTGCTAAACTATTAGTGTCAGTGTCAAGGCTGGCTCTCCCCAGAGAAGATTCTCTTCTGATTCTTTATGCAGTATGCCCCCAGCCCACCTAGATTCACTTTACTTTGGGGAAACTAATGTTTTTTAGATATGTTGCTTTAGATCATTGTCACACGTCCACAAAATTGTAGAACCTCAGAGGTAGAAGGGACCTCAGAGGCTGTCTAGTGCAACCACACCTGAATATGAATTTCTACTCTAACATACCTGTTGAACACTCATCTAGCTGTATTTATAGATTTCCAAAAAGTAAAAACCTGCTACCTCACAAGGGAGCACATTCTTCTTTTGGACAGCTAGAATTGCTAATGGTCTGATAACATGCTTAGACTTCAATGCTTCAGTGATCTCCTCAATGTGAGTACTCCCCTTACAAAAGGAACAATCCATCCATGCCTTCTCATTCTGAGCAACTGTAAGCCATGTCCTCCTGTGAATAATATAAAATAAATAAGGAAAGGAAGATGGGACTCAGATTGTAGAGGATTAGAGCGGAAGGCTGATTCTGTATTTAATTCTAGAGGCAATAGGGTACAGCTGAAGATTCCTAGGAGTCTACCAAATATAGGTCTCTACATGGAATGTGAAAGTTTACATTTATAGACAGTCTAAAAATTCTTTTAAAAAAAGTCTGGTCCTCCTCCTTTCTGTCACTTTGCCACTACCACAACAGAGGACAAAGAAGGCTGTAAAGTCAAAAGAAGTATGTCATTTTTTCTTTGTTTCATGGATTGTGCCAACCTACTGGTCCTCAGAAAGCAGGTTTGGTTTGTCACTAGGATCATATTCGATGCCTTTCCAACATGGCAGAACTTGCAAGGCACCATGTTTGGTTGGTATAGCCTTCAAGACTCTCAGATCAATTCTCTGCTATGATAAATCATGGGGAAAGTATTTTTATAAAAGCTTAATAAAGTTTCACCCAGTGTGGCTTCCTTTAGGATAAAAACCACAGACAGACACAGACCAGTACAGTCCACTTTTATTTGTGGACTAAGCACACACAGTGTGACATGTATTCAAGCTTTTTGCTTATCTTTATCTAACTCCATTCTTACTTATCATTGGATTCTTTCCCTACTTATCCACCCACAGCCAGGAGAGAAAAAAACAGAGAAGATAAAATGGGGTGTCTCCTCTCATTGAGGTTTGGTGGAAGATTTTCCAGGGACAGGCTACCAAGACTACACTGAAGTTAAACTCTGGGAAGTTTTGGGGGAACCATTATCATGAGAGGTCAACCTGACCCAGACCTCACCAGTATCACTCACAAAGGCTGTGCCAATAAGGTTAGGGTAATCCCTAATTTACTTATTATTCTGAACAGAACCAATAAATGTTTACAGGGTTTATCCATTTATTAATTTACCCACAGAGCTTGTTTGTCTTCTTGTGTGTGTGTAAACATGATTTTTCCAAATTATAATAGCACTTAGGAAAAAAGAATTGTGGAGCTTAAGAGCTGGAAGGGCCCATAAAGATCAAATAATCTACCCCCTCATTTTTTAGATAAGGAAACTGAGAAGGGAAGGGAATGGGAAACAGGTCTTCTGATTCCAAGGCCTCCGATGGTTGTGCTAATGCCACACTGATACCCTAAAGACTACCTATAAAACTCAAAAGAGCCGGATTAAGGCACAGGGGTATGGGTTGGCCTGCATTTTGTGGTGAACTCCCCTCCTGCCCTTACCTTCCCTCCATGATGCCCAGAACTTGGTATTACACACAATGTGCCAGTGCTAGGGATGACTAAATGACCACTCCCACAATTGCCAAGATCACTATATAGATGGAAGCCATTTGCAGCAAACACCAGTAATTAGGTTATTTCATCTTTGCAGAAAAGTAAAAAGAATCCATCAGCCAAATAAAAAATCTACTACTTGGCATTGTGAAATCATAGATGAAGCACTAGAGTTGGAGTTAAGAAGACCTGTGTTCAAATCCTGACCTTGGCACTTACCACCTGTGTGACCCTGGGCAAGTCACTTATAACCTTTCTGAGTTTCCTCATGTGTAAAATGGGGATAATAATCCCTGTAGAACATCTGTCACAGAGTTGTGAGGATTGCTTGAGATGCTTTAATGTAGGCCTGTGGGCCAATGTGGCCCACAATATTCCCAAGTGAACTAGATTAAAATGTAATTGGAAAATATTTAACAAAATTGATCTAATGCGTATGAGGTTCTTTGTAAACCTTATAATGCTATATAATGCTATATAAATCAATTATTACCATATCTTGCCAACAATATAGTACATGGTCTTAGAGCTAAGAGCAGAAAATAACTGGAGCATTCTGTTAAAATGTGAGAACCACAGAATTGAAAAAACAAAGACCTACTGTGTGAAGGTGTCAGGGGCAGAAAGCTACTTTTAGCACTTCATTAGGTCCTCTATCTCCCAAATTATTTGGCCACCATCAAAATGGGTCTTTGATACTGGTGATTGAATGTGGGACATTAGTGGTAGACTCAGCCCCTGTTGGGGTTTGTGAGAGTGAGCCAAGAGCTGGGTATTCACTGGTATAGAAAAAGAGACTGTGAATGAAGGAGCAAAGGGAACATGATGGAGTCAATGAGTGGGAGTCAAGATATGTTACTATGTAAAGGTAATCCCCCCCACCTCCCTGTCATGGGGTAAGTACAGGTTGTCCATCTATGGAACCCAGAGGTAAAAATGCAAGGACCACAACAGTTTATACTGAGCTCCAAATGTAGGGATTTGGCACCTTGAATTATGAGAGTAAGGACAGTGAATCCTGGAGGAGAAAAGGAAGATGCTAAGGGAGACCAATGCTTTGAGGTCAGAGATTTTATAAAGCTCTGAGTGCCAGGGTAGAGATATTTGTATTCTTATGTAGAGAAAGAAATGTTTGGGAAGCAATAATGAAAAATCCCTGCCAAGCGCATCTCTAAACACCACAGTTCTGAGCCTCTAGTCACCTCCCCAGGGACAGACAGATCTAGAGCTCAGGTGGATCTGAGATCAGCATGACATCAAATGGCCCATAACAACATCATCACCAGCTCTACCATGGAGGCAGTCAACCTTCCCTTTCCCCAGTCTCCATAAAGGGTCTGATGGCTCCAGTAAGGGAGCCAAGGGGAACAGTTGTGGTACTGTCAGCTGGCCATTTGGAAACTGGTGGAGCAGCAGATGAGTCTGGGCCAGAACACAGACTACTTCCCAGGTGGCAGTGCTTCAGGAGAAACGGGAGCCAATGGAAATGCTTTTCAACAGCCAGGCTAGCCTGCAACCTAGGTATTTAAGAGCTAGTTGGCACAGGCAGACATTCCAGTGTTGGGGAATATGCTCTATGATTGAAAAACAGGAGCCTCTAAAGAAGTAGCAATAGAAAATATCTTCAAGGACAAAGGTCACAAACCCTCAGAGTGAAGCCATTTTGAACCAACACACACCATATTTTCAGGAAAGGTCAGGGCCCTTTGTTGGCTTGTTGGTGTAGGCAATTCTACCTTTACCTCAGCAGAAGACCTCCATCACAATCCTCAAATCCAACCCATATACCACCACTCTAATTCTGAGCCTCATTACCTCTGGCGTGGACTATTGCAATAACCTATTAATTAATTTCGCTACTTCTGATCTCTTCCTTCTCAGATCCAACCTCCACACAGTTGCCAAAACCACATTCCTTAAACACAAACTTCATCATGTTGCTTCCTGGCTCAAGCCTTTAGGATGAAAATAAAACATCCTGAGCCTGGCATTTAAAGCTCTTTGTAGTCTTGATCCAACCCAACTTTGCTGACATTTCATATTATTTCAGTAAAAATGCACCTCCCTGCCCTACCTCCAAGCATCTTCTTAACTTTCAGCCTTTTGTCTTGTCCCTGTTCCTCTGTTTGGCATGACACTATTGTTCCCGGGACTCAGCATTCTGTCTCCTCTCTCTGCCCTTAGTCACAAGCTGTTCTCCACGCCCAAAATGTTCTTCTTTCTAAATGACATCTCTTAGAATCCCTAGCTTCCTTCAGAGCTAAACTCAGATGCCACCTCTTCCTTGAAGTCTTCCCTGATCCCTCCTAGCTCTTCTCCAAATGACCTCATAGTTATTTAACTATGTGCATGTTGCATCCCTCCAGGAGAACAGAAGTTTCTAGTGGGCAGAGACTATGTCGTTTTTGTTTTCATATCCCCAGAGTCTAGCACAATGCCTTGCATATAGTAGGTATTTAAAATATTTATGAAATTATTGAATGACTTGACCAATTGTTGAATAGAAGCTTGAGTAATGTCCCTTTTGCAGAACACAGAGGGATGAGTCTGACAGGTCTGCTTTTGATTGCCCTATAACAAATTAAAGTCCAATTCTGTGTTTTTTGAGAGGGTAGAGGTAATCAGTGGCTAAAATAAAATTTGGATTGGAAATGAATATTTTTATATCCTGGGAGGAGGGGAATAAGGGAAGACCTGCATCTGAATTGAAGAGACCCTAGACCAGGTCCATGGAGTTGGAAGGCTGATGGGTAAATTTCAATGGGTCCATGAACTTTGATAGGAAAAAAAGTTTCATTTTTTTTTGTTTTTTTGGTGAGGCAATTGGGGTTAAGTGACTTGCCTAGAGTCATACAGCTAGTAAGTGTCTGAGGCTGGATTTGAACTCAGGTCCTCCTGACTTCAGGGCCAGTGCTCTATCCATTGTGCCACCTAGCTGCCCCTACATTTTTATTTCCACTAGCTTCTAACCAGAACCTAGCATTTTCTTCAATTATGAATATGAAAAACCAGCATTATTCTGAGGATTCCATAGGCTTTGCCACCTGCCAAAGAGAAACATGATACAAAAATGTAGGAAGTCCTGCTCTAGACAGACTTCTATACAAGGAGTAAATGAAAGGATGGCTGTGGCTAGTTTTGGGTAG